GGCTGGAGGGTCACAGGTTCAAAGCCAGCCTCAGCCACTTAGCAAGGCTCTAAGCAAGTTAGTGAGACCCTGTCTCAAAATAAAGAAATGAGAAAAGGGATGGGGATGCAGCTCTGTGTTAAGTGTCCTTGGGTTCAATCCCTGGTACAAAAACAAAGGTGGGGGAGTGGAAAACACATTAAATTCTGACAAAATTCTGGATACCTAGACAAAAGAAGTCCTAATTCTACTCTTCGAAGTGATTGGAGAGTTAGAATTTCATGGGAGAGTCTACAGATGGCAAAGGGTTATGAAGAATCACCAATGGCAGATCGCCTGCTCTGGGAGCCAAGGCCAGATCCTCTTGTCCTACAGTGCCCAGGTTCTGTTTGCTTTTGCATTTTATACAGTATGGGAGGTGCCCGCAGTCCCCAGGACATCAGGGTGCACTGCCCACAGCAGTAGTTGAGCAGATATGGAAGCAGAGGCCACTTTGCAAGCCCTGGGGTGAGCTTCCTTGGAGAGTTTCTCCAGTGCTGGACTTGAGGTCAGACAGGACCCAGAGTGACTGTGCCTTCTGGTCAAGTGTGCTGTGAGGATCCGTGAATGATGGGGATTAGGTATTTTGCCAACTAGAGAGATTGGTATTGTCTGTCTTTAAGGGTTTAAGCAATAAAACCTGTTTGATCAAATCCTGCTCTAAAATCTATTAATTTGATCAAATCAGTGCTCTATCAATGTTGTTCAGTACAAACAACTATAAGTTATTAAAATGAATAGTGAAGATTGAGCCTCACAAGGTGATGGCTATACCATAATTGTGGGGGATTACTTACCAAGAATTCCACTTTGCCCACACAAGGTAGAAGTGACTGAATGACCCTTTGTGGTCTAATGTCCTTTGGAAGTAGCCTTTCTTTTTTGTTAGCTTCTCACTGTAGCATTCTGTCACTGCCTAAAGAACTTGTCTTCTTAGTTTCTCAGCTTGTTTTTGTAATGTGAGTGCTTTAAACAGTGTTCTCTGGGCTCATGTTCCCCCACAGCACCCTCAGGAAGAGATGAACTAGAATCATCTGCATATACCTGCTGGCTCGTTTCCTTAATCAGGTCAGCTTAGAAACTCAGTCAGGACCCTAGGAATCTCTATTTGTGCAAGCTCCTTAGGAGACTTGGGACTCCTGGTTGGAGGGACTCTTCCTCATTCTCCACACTCAAGATGGAAACTCTCAAGCTGCATTTTACTTTTGAAGGGAAAAAGACTAAAGAATGAGTTTGAAATGAGACAAAAGGAAGAATTTTGAAGGCAGAATGATTCTGGATCCCACATGACTCACAGTACTGCATGCAGGCTTCCTAGAGCATTTAGCAAGAAGACCAGCATCAGAGGAGGATCAGGTCGGGAAGAGGGCTGAGGCTAGAAACCCAGGAGGCTGTGTGCCAGTCTGTGCTTTGCACCAAAAAACTACACACCCCAGACCTAAATCAGGAATTCTCAAACTTATGTGGTCCACAGAGCAGTTTAGAAGACAGAAGGCCTTTGGATCATTTGCTTTCCTGGGACTGTCTGGCACAAAGCAATTCAGCCCTCATCAGAGTGCACAGTGGTGTGTACTTTGCTCAGAGCCAAGGGCGAGACTCATATCAGTTGTGAATTAAGTAGAAGCCATGAAATCTCAAAAGATATTTTCTATTTTTGGACCAGTGACCTAAATTAAACTTGAATTTTGAATCTCATGTAGTATAATGCTTGCAAGCATGGGTCCTACAAATGCCAGGACCTGTTCCTTCATATTTATCCTGGGGTGATGATGGTGCCAGTCCGTGTTTCATCAGAGTGGGAGGAGAGGAGGGTGCTGCTCGTGAGATGCCTGGCATAGAGCAGGCACTCAGTAAACACCTGGTTTGTTGCCCTCTGTTCTAGGGGGCCGAGGCTATGGTTCTGGAGAGCGTTATGTTTGCCATTCTCGCAGAGAGGTCACTTGGGCCAAAGCTCTATGGCATCTTTCCCCAAGGCCGATTGGAGCAGTTCATTCCGGTAAGATGTGTGTGCATGAATGGCCAGTTGATGTGAGCTGCAAACAGAGGTGGACTCCATGTCTCAGCATGGAGAAAACCTGATGCTGTGGCTTAAAGTAAGTGGTTTTGTGACCTGTTATTAAACTGGATGGGAATATATATATAGATATACAGATTTTGTTTGTTTGTTTGTTTGTTTAGTTTTTGTTATATCAGAACCTGTTTCTTTCCTACAAAGACATGGTCATTCAAATTAAAAATATATGTGAGAGTCACCTTTGCATCATCCCATAAGCTTTCCCCTTTCCCTTAATCCTTCTCACCTTCTGAGGCCTTCTTTGACACCAGAGTAAATCCAGGGTGCTTAACCACTGAACCACAACCCCAGTCTCTTTTTTTTATTTATTTTGAGATAGGGTCTTGCTAAGTTGCTGAGGCTGGCTTTGAACTTGTGATCCTCCTGCCTCAGCCTCCTGAGCTGTTGGAATCACAGTTGTGTGCCATTGCACCTGGCCTGGGGCCTTCTTTTAGAAATTGCTGGTGGAGCATCTGGGCTCCCAGCACACCTGTCACGTCTCCTTTCCCTTGTCTCCAATGTCTTCCCTTCACTTTGGCTTTTCCCTGTTAGGGTCTCTCCTGCCCTGTCCTTCTGCTCCCAGGTGCCGAGAGGTTTAGAGGCCTTACTCAATTCCTCTATTTCCAAATAGTCAGGATTATTTTCCATTTCTTGTTGTCTTAAAGCTTTTTTGGTTATTGTTTTTAAGTTGTGAATTGACAACAGTACCTTTATTTAATTAATTAACTTTTAAATTTGGTATCAGGATTGAACCCAGGGGCACTTAACCACGGAGTAATTTATATATGTTAGAGATGGGGTCTCACAGCAACAGGACACAGGTTGTGGCATCTGTGGAACTGATCGCAAGATCCTAGAAAATTTTGCACACTTTGTACATATCACCTATTACATGGTGGAGTTTTTTTGTTTGTTTTTTGTGGTGCCAGGGATTGAAACTGAGCTACTCCTCAGAACTCCTTTTTGTTTTTTTATTTTAAGACAGGGTCTTACTGAGTTGAGACTGGTCTCAAATTTGTGTTTCTCGTGCCTCAGTCTCCTGAGTAGCTGGGAGTACAGGTGTGGCCACCCTGCTCAGCCTGACAGCTTTATCTTAGTCTTCTTCTAAGTTTACATATTGTTTGCTTGGTTCAGTTTTTTTGTTTTGTTTTGTTTTAATTTTGAAACAAGTTCTGGTTAAATTGCCCAGGCTGGTTTCACAATTGTGATTGTCCTGCCTCAGCTTCCTAAATAGCTGGGATTATAGGTCTGCGCCACTGTATCTTACTTACCATAGTGGGTTTGTCTTTTTTTAAATGTACTGGAGATTGAACCCAGTTGCTTTACCTCTGAGCTACATCCTTAGTCTTTTTTTTTTTTTTTTTTTATTTAGATACAGGGTCTCACTAAATTGCTGAGGGCCTTGCTAAGTTGCTCAGGCTGTCACCAAACTTGTGATCCTCCTGCCTCAGCCTCCCAGTTGCTGAGATTACTGGTGTGTGTTACCATGCCTGTTGAGATTTTTAAAATTTCTGTTAAAATACTAAGTTGAACCACAAAAAATTGCCAGTAGTTGACTGTTTTTGATCCACAGATATGTCAATTTTATTTGATTCAGACTAATATCATACAACATTTTTAGTTTTATTCTTGGCCACTGCATTGGATTTTTTTTTTTTTTTGGTTAGGGGGTGGTACTGCGGATTGAACTCAGGGGTACATGACCACTGAGCCACATCCCTAGCCCTATTTTGTATTTTATTTAGAGACAGGGTCTCACTGAGTTGCTTAGTGCCTCGTAGTTGCTGAGGCTGGCTTTGAACTTGTGATCCTCCTGCCTCTGCCTTCTGAGCAGCTGGGATTACAGGCATGTGCCACCTTGCCTGCCCACCGCATTAGATTGAGATTCTGTCCTTTTTGATTCCTGTAGCTGTCTTTCAAAGGGTCATGTGAGATTGATGATTCCTAAGAATAATAGTCTCCATTTCCCTTTCTGACTTTTAAGGAAGGAACAGATACTGAGATTTGTCCATCTTTTTTTTTTTTTTTTTTTAGAGAGAGAGAGAATCTTTAATATTTATTTTTTAGTTTTTGGCAGATACAACATCTTTGTTTGTATGTAGTGCTGAGGATCGAACCTGGGCCGCACGCATGTCAGGGAGCACGCTACCTCTTGAGCCACAGCCCCAGCCCAGATTTGTCCATCTTTGAGGAGATTAATTTTTTAAACATTTAAAAAATATTTTTGGGCCTGGGAATGTGGCTCAAGTATAGTAAGTATAGTACAAGGTTATGTATTTACTATACTATTTGTTGTTATTTTAGAGCTTCCACCTTCTACTGAGAAGACACTGTAGAGTGTGCTGTAGGCCAGCAGCAGCCTGCCCCCGCCTGCCTGCCTCTTGTACTTGATCTAATCTGGTTTTGGTCCTTGCAGCCCTTGAGCAGCAGGATGAAAGACCAGGTGTGCCACACCCAGGCGTGCCACAGGCAATGCACCACATTTCTGGGAATGTATTCCGTCATCAATGGGCATATGATGCTGGCCCTTAAAAAAGCCATGGGGGGTGCCTTAAGGAGGCCGAGCATCCTCCACTGGAGGCTGAGCTTCCTGTCCGGATTGTGGCATGGCTGTTGAGAGTGTCATGGAACACGACATTCCTGAGTTGAGTGGGAAAAGGAGCCTGGTGCCTTCAGGACTCTCAGCACACAGCACCTGGGTTAGTTGCACTGTCTAAGTGGGGAGCACGTCCCTGGCCCTGTGCCTTCTGTGTTGTGCCTTTAGAGACACATCCCTTGGGGGTCTGTAGGGAGTAGCTTATGTGCAAGACCTACAAAGTCCCCTGGACTTCAGGACCCCTGAGAACACTGTGAAAGAGCTGCCAGAACAAGTGTGGCCTGCAGAGCCTGTTCTCTGCCAGGCCAGATGTAACGGACACAGTGAGAGCCACTGGCCCTGGCTCCTGCTGAACTCATGGTACCCCCTGGTCAGCACTGGTTCTGACCACCGGTGCAGGGCAGAGCAGAACCCCAGCTGAGGCACGCTGCTGAGATCAGGGCTTCTGGTGCTGTGGGTGTGAGAAGGCAGAATCACATCATCATAGGAAAGGGGCTTTTAGTTCATTGAAATTTAAGGAAGGACTTTCTTAAAGTTAAAAAGCATTCATAAGGATGGGGTTGGGGCTCAGTGGTAGACTGCTCGTCTATATCGTGCGAGGCCCTGGGTTCAATCCTCAGCATCACATAAAAATAAATAAATAATGAAAGGTATTATATACAACACACACACACACACACACACACACATACACACACATACAAACACACACACTCTCTCTCTCTCTCTCTCTCTCTATATATATATATATATATATATAAAATTCATAAGGAAATAGACTCTGAGAAGTGGCTTGCCCTCTTTGTGGAATTGCCGTGGCAGTTGCTGGGTCACCATCTGTGAGGGCAGAGTGTCCATTCTGCAGGAAATTTTGTTAATTGGGTGAGACTGAAATGCTGTGCAAAAACTGACTTCTAATTCCTATGAATGTGTGATCTCATGCTTGTTAGATGACCTAGTAAATGTCAGTTTTTAACTCCCTTTTTCTTTCAGAGCCGGCGATTAGACACTGAAGAATTAAGTTTGCCAGATATTTCTGCAGAAATAGCTGAAAAAATGGCCACATTTCATGGTATGAAAATGCCATTCAATAAGGAACCAAAATGGCTTTTTGGAACAATGGAAAAGTAAGTGGTCCGATCGCTCAGGCCTCGCTTAGTTCTGTACCAGGGCAGGCTGAGGCCCTTCTCTGCTGGCTCATTGGTGCGCCGGCCCTCAGGGGTAGTGTTTGTCTCTGGGGTAAGTTTTTTTTACATGGAGCAATTAATTCCTGGACCAAGAAAGATGACTTGGCAGAAATGCTGTTCCCCAGGGTGGGGGCAGAGCTAGCGTCCCAGAAAACCTTGGATCCCTAGTCACCACCCTTCCCTCTCCTTTCTGGTCTGGGACTGTCTAAGTGAAGTCTGAGAATCAAGCAGTGAAGCTTCACCTTTCTTTAACAGATACCTAAATCAAGTGCTGAGGATTAAATTTACTGGGGAATCCAGAATCAAACAGCTCCACAAGTTCCTCAATTACAATCTGCCTTTGGAACTGGAAAACCTCAGGTGAGAAATGACTTCTTTCCTGACAAGTGAGCACGTCTATCGAGAAATGTAGCTACTCTTGGTCACTAGAACTGTTGTTAGTTGGTGCTGGTGAAGCGCATCCTGCGCCTGGCATCTGTTACTGGTTTTGCAGGGTGGGTTTGACAGGCGGGTCTGACAGGTGGGTCTTGCTGCCCGAGATACTGTCTTGTGTTCCAGGAAGGCTTCACGCGGGGGAGGCCAACTTTCAGAGAAGTAGTTTGGTGCTTGGGGCAGCAAAGTCTGGGGCAGTAGATTTTTTTGGAGCAGAAGCAGGTGGGGATTTGCAAGCTGATGAGAGAAATGGCTAAACCTGAGCTTTGGGGAGCTGTGCGAATCTTGAGACTGATTTCTGAGTGGAGGCCCTGTACTGTTCTCAGGGTGGGGCTGGGCAGGCTTGCATACCTACATACATATCTGTCCAGGATGTACAGTCCCCCTGCTGTGCTAGGCAGTACGTCATGTGAGGAGGTGGTGGACCAAGATGTCATTTTTATTAGGCCAAGTAAACAATGACATAGTGTCAAGTTGCATAAATGCTGGGAAGGAATAGTTCAGAGCAGACCAAAACAGAGGGACTGCCTTGCCTGGGACAGGAGGGAGCGGGTGCAGAGAGGCCTTGTGCGTGTGGGAGCACTGAAGAGCTGGTGTGGGCAGTGGGGCTGTGGGCAGCCTACATTAATCCTCGACAGGTGATAGTGACACCTTGATTTTCCAGGTCACTGCTTGAATCTACTCCGTCTCCAGTTGTATTTTGTCATAATGACTGTCAGGAAGGTAAGAATCATCACGTAATGCTACAGATTGAATTTGTGTGTATGCTCTATGTGTGATAAACACCAGATGGCCATCACAGGACTATTTGATACATCAGATTATGCTGCAGTGACAGTACGTATTGGATAACTATTAAAAAGAATTCGGGCTAGGCTGATGGCACATGCCTGTAATCCCAGTTGCTTGGGAGGCTGAGGCAGGAGGACTGTAAAGTTCAAAGCCAGACTCAGCAATTTAGCAAGGCCCTAAGCAATTAGGCACTGTCTTAAAATGAAAAAATAAAAAGGTCCGGGGATGTGGCACAGTGGTAAAATGTCTCTAGGTTCAATTCCCCAAACCCCCAAAATAAAAATAGATGTAAAGCTCTCCTTATTCTTTTTATTTATCAACAGAAAAATCTCTAGGCTATATTAAGAGGAAAAAAGCAAGTTTTAGAAAAACAGAGTATCATTCCACTTCTATTAAAATGTTGACATGGAAAAAAATCTGAAAGATTTTTCACTAAATGTGGGACTTGGACTAAGGACTTAAATGTTCTGAGGCGCATGTTGCTGTCTGGTTTGTGGTGAGCGCCCGGGGCTTCCTCGTCCTGCAGCAGCTGGCAGACCAGGAGTAGCCATGCAGGCCCCTCCTGGCCCACCGAGCAGCACAGGGCAGCGCCTCAGACCACCTTCTTGGTTGTCCCAGCCGGCACAGTTAAAGACTGTTGGTTGCTCTGCTTCAGGAAATTACAATGCCATAGGGCCCCTTACTGTCACAGACTTTTACCTAGCATGATTTCCAATTTGGTCCTCCCTCCCTCTCCTCCTTGGTTTTGAAGCCACATGTGCTCTTCCACTGGATCATGTCCCCAGTCCTTTTCTCTTTTTTCTTTTGAGACAGGCTCTCAGTGAGTTGCCCAGGCTGGGCTCAAACTTGCAGTCATCTTGCCTCAGCCTCCTGATGCAGCAGTTCCCACTGATGCTGCTGGCATTTCCTATCTTGCCTTGCTGTCCTGGTCCTTGGAGGTCACAGGTGGCTGTGGTCCCGCTTCAAGACCTTCTTTGCCTGGCTCAGCAGTTTGTTTTGTTTTGTTTGGGAGATGGGATCTCACTGTGTTGCCCAAGCTGGCCTCGAATTCCTAGGGTCAAGAGGTCCTCTTGCCTTAAGTTGGTTTTCAGTTCCACAGTAGCTCCTGGTCAGGTTCCAGCTGCAGTGAGCCACTAGTTTGAGCCCAGTCACCTTTGACCAATTGTGGGCTCAGTCCAGGGAAGCAGGGCACAGGCAGTTCAGTGAAGCCCTGGAGGCCGGCCACGGCATTCAGTGGTGACCATTGTTGACAGGGCAGCGCACAGCACCAGTGTGGCTCTGGATGGCCAGGGAGGAGCAGGTGGGGATGTGAGCTGTACATTTCTTCTGTGCTGGCGTTTGGGACATGGGCCTCCAAAGTTCCTTTGCAGTGCTCTTAGATGCAGGAGAAGTACATTGCCAAGCCTAGAGACCCTCACCAGGGACCCTGGGAGAGAGGGGCCAGACAGTAGCAAAGGGTCCACTGGCCCAGGTGCTGAGATGCTCGAGGGCTCACAGTGTGGACCTCAGGAGCATGGGCCTGAGTTCATGTCAGGCTGGCGGCTGACCCACCTCATTCCCGAAATTCCACGCTGAAGGAACTGTCCTTGTAGGGTTGCTGCTTGTGCTGTCCTCGGCTCAGCCTGTGGTAGCTGTGGCAGGACACCACATCAGCTCCTCAGCTGCTGTGCCCTCGCCAGCTACTGCCAGCAGCTCAGTCCCAGGGCTGCTGGGGTGGGTGTGAGTGGTGGTGCTTAGGTCATCAAGCTCCAGTGTGCCAGATGTCTGGGAGGTGCGGCCTTGACAAGAGGGAGAGGCCTTGACCAGGGAGTGAGCCTCCTGGTGCCAGGGAGGTGGCCAGGATGTGGATAGGTGCATCTGGAGTCTTTCCGTGTGGGGGGCCAACCCTGGTAGTAGTGCACCTGTGCTCCAGCTGCAGGACCCAAACTGAACTCAGTCAGGGTCCCCACAGAGGCAAGAGTCAGTCTCAACTCTAAAAACGTCAGCTTTCTGTTCTAAGTCTTGCCACTCAAACCTTTTTGCAGGTAATGTCTTATTGCTGGAAGGCCGAGAGAATTCTGAAAAACAGAAACTGATGCTCATTGACTTTGAATACAGCAGTTATAATTACAGGTAATGTCGCACCAAAGGCTGAGCTTTCAGTACTGCTTTTTATTGTGATACATTATGAAATGATGTGAGGACAAGATGAGTGGCAAGCACTGCTCTTGGAAGAGAAGGCTTTGGCCAGAGTGGCCGCTGGGCCAGGGACTCTGTGGATGGAACTCGCCATTTCCTGTGGCCTTCCAGAGCCTCTTTGCTTTCTCAGCACTGCTGTAGGAGGCATCTGAGGCAGTGAGGCAGGCCAGGTGGCAGCCTTGTGCCCTCTGCAGCTGTGACTCTGATGCCCAGTTGCTTCGCTCTGCTTGTCCACAGAGCTGCCACACCCTATACCCTCAGGAAGCCCGGTCAGGACGCACCTGCCCTTCCCAGTGTGGGCTCTGAGGCGTCAGGTGTGCTCACACTGTGCCGTCTCCTCTTTCAGGGGATTTGACATTGGGAATCATTTCTGTGAATGGATGTATGACTATAGCTATGAAAAGTACCCCTTCTTTACTGCCAACATTCTCAAGTATCCCACCAGGAAACAACAGGTAAGAGATTCATTTTTATGGAGTTGATAAGTTAGTTACAGAAGTCAGTTTCATGCAATTAGAATTACATGTTTCTAAAGATGCCCTTTTAAAATTGTGTCATGATTAGGCAAACCCTTTTGCTTATGTTAAAAATGTTATTTTCTGTTAACGTGGATGCCACCTTCACAGTTCAGCCTTGTTGAGATCCGTGCTGGAAATAGTTGTCCTCTGTTGGGGATGAGCACTGCTTGCCCACAGAGGAGCTTCCAGTGTTTCCCACAGAGCCCAGCCTGTGCCTTCTGGGCTTCTTTCTGGGGAATGTGACCCTTCCTCTGTTGGGTTCACACTGTGCAGAGAGAAGTCCTGTACGCCATGGTCAGTACCTGGAGGAAATGCCTTTAGCGCGAGCAGTTCCCTTTCCTGTCCTGTGCTACTGGAGGAGCGTCATTTCCTCCTGGAATTTCCTCCTGGGACACCCTCGTCCTGTCCCCCCTCCCGCGTCGCCACCCCCCACCCTGTCTGTGGTCTAGACCACCCTAAGGCCTGAGTACAGGCTCAGCAGGTGGCAGTGAAGCTGGGAGGGCAGGAGAGAGCTCAGCCCACCTCCCTAGATGCCCCTGATGTACAATGACTCTGTGTCCTAGCACCTTACTAGTGGCAATAGCAGATCACACAGCAATCAGGAGTGAGGACAGGGTCAGGTGAGGACAGGTGTGTTTGCACTGCCACCTTGGTTCACTCAGGAGTGTACTGAGCCGCACTCCTGGATTCCCCAGGAGGTGACCCATGTTCTTGGCACTGTGGCCTTGCTAAGGGGCCAAGCACTGTGACTGCCCTCTTCTGGCCACATCTTGAGGCTGAGGAGGGTGAACCTGACGTGTGCAGAGCCAGGCGGCCAGGACTCCATGAGAAGGAAGGGCAGGTGAGGGGGGCCTGCTTGCCAGGGGAGGGGAGCACAGCTTCACCCTGGTCACAGGGGGAGAAGTTAAGCTCATAGAGCTGGAGCACTGTCCATCAGGACTGGCAAGCAGGCCAGGGAGGCGCCAGAGGAGATTTCATTCTAATGAACTGCTAAAATCACACAGCAACATGTCATTTAAAGAAGTTCCTTCCTAGTTATATTTTCTGTTTTTTGTTGTTGTTTGGTGTGGGGGGGTGGGGAGTATGGGGGATTGAACCCAGGGCCTTGTGCATGCCTGCCAGGCAAGAACTCTCCCAGCTGAACTATATCCCCAGCCCCAGTTATATTTTTTGAAAACTTTTAAGGTAGTATATGGGTATGGAGCTTTATAAGATAGCCCTTGTGCATCTCTTGAGGTGATCTTGTATTTCCTTTCTTTCATCTGTGATGAAATAGTTTTAAATGTCTGGTCATTCTAGAGTTGCCAGGGTGAGCTGTCTGAATGCCTGGAACAGTCTCAGGTAAACTATTTTTCCTCCAAAGCAAAAACAGTTTATGAACATGTGTGTAAATAGTCTTGGCCTTGCAGGGTGGGAAGGCACACACTTCCGTCTTGTCCAGCGCAGTTTCCACCCTGAGGGGACGTCTGCCAGCACCAGGGTAACCCAGAGCTTTGCTCCTGGGAGCCCCACATGGCACACAGGCCATTTTGGAGAAAGGTTTGAAAGAGGTGTACCCTGCTTTAATATCAGATAATGAAAAACATAAGTGTAGATTTAATTAGGGAAAAACCTGATTCTATCTGAATCACTCCTCCAGAACTAGCAGCCCCCACACCACACCCTTCCAGCAGAACCGTGGACACAGCCACGGGCACAGTGCATGTGCACTCTGCACAGCGATGAACGGTGCTTGTTTTAACCAACATTGGTCCTAACACAGTCACTTCTTTTTTAAGCTCCATTTTATTTCCAGTTACTTGACTACATTCCAGAATGACTTTGAAAACCTCAGTAGTGAAGAAAAATCTGCTATAGAAGAAGACGTGTTGCTTGAAGTCAATAGGTAACGATCCTCCTTTGAAAGCCGCGAGTACAGCTTGCCCCTTTATAAACTGCCTGGAGTGCTTGGTCATGCCCACACCTCATCCAAAATCGAGGCTTCTGCTTCCTGTGGTGGCAGGGACCGTAGAGATCTTCTGATTCAGGAATCAGCAGCTAAGATAGGTACTGGGTACCGGGACAGTACGCCTGGTCCAGCCACATGCAGGACCTGGCTGTGTGAGGCTGCTGCCACTGTGCTCATGTGACACTCTGACTTCTGGAACCAGTGGAAACAGAAAAGCGCAGGCAGAGGAAAACCCACAGAAAGGGCAGTACCAAGGGACTAGGTGGGCCAGGGACCTCCAGGACGCAGAGGAAGGCTGGTCATGTAAATGACACTCAGGCATTGTTGAGGAGGAATGTGGATTCAGGGTGATGTAGAGGGCTGGAGAAGATGGCAAGTTTCATGCACTCACCTCCTTCGTTCCCCTTCTGTGGCAGGGAGGGAGAGGCCTGAGGGTGGATTTAGGAAGCCCTTGCCTGGGGAGCAGCTTGGGGCCTGTGGGGAGAGGCAGCGGGCCAGCAGGGCTCTTCTCACTTGTGCCTACGCATTCACACTTGTGGCAACAGTGAGGCCACCATAGTCTCCGTCCCTGTGCTGTCAGTGTCCTGTGTGCTGTAGCCAGGCAGCTGGGTGTGCTCACTCCTGCAGGTCCCTCTGTGCCCTCTGACATGTAATCCCACCAAGTGGTCAAGGCATTGTCCCCATCCAGCCCAGATGGCTGGCCATCCAGTGGGAAGGGGCTTCATCAGGGGTGTGACGGGCACTGAGCAGCTCACGTGTTTCTTCTGTGATTACAGGTTTGCCCTCGCATCCCATTTCTTCTGGGGACTTTGGTCCATTGTACAGGCCAAGATTTCAGCCATTGAATTTGGGTACATGGTATGTTCGAGGCAGCTCTCATCTTCTCCTGGGGAAATGCTGTGACGCATGGGAGTGCTTGGAAGCAGCAGTGGCTGTTACTCGCAGAAGTGACCTGTTCCCTCAGACCCTGAAAGTGGTGACCTGGTGGCACCAGGACAGCATGGTTCTCACTGTTGCCTTGGGAGATCGCCTCACTCCTGGGCCCACTGGCTCTGCCACCCAGCTTCAGGGCAGTGCTGGGTAGGCCTGTGGTCTGAGGAGGCCTGGAGAGATCGCGACCCTTCTGACATAAGGGAGCCTGAGTGGCAGAGTGTGGGCACTCCTCCTGCGCTGCCAGGGTGTGGTCATTTGTCCACTCCTTGTGCCCACCTGTAGTGCCCAGCTTGGGTAGAAGCTGGTTCTTCTTTTTTTTTTTTTTTTAAAGAGAGAGAGAGAGAGAGAATTTTTTAATATTTATTTTTTAGTTTTCAGCGGACACAACATCTTTGTTTGTATGTGGTGCTGAGGATCAAACCCGGGCCGCACGCATGCCAGGCGAGCGCGCTACCGCTTGAGCCACATCCCCAGCCCAAGAAGCTGGTTCTTATTGATAAGTATTGGTACTTATCTCCTGGTTCTTTTTCAGGAGAATTGTAGCCAATTGGCTTGTAGTCAATTCAGGCTGTAATTTTAATGTTAAGAACTGTGCTTGACATTGACACCATTAGAGAAATCCCTGTGCTGGGGCTTCATCTTGAGGGAGGACATGGCACAAGCCCGGCCTATGGCTCCTTTTCCCTGGGGCAGGAGTGGGAGGTGCTGGTTCGTCTTATCCTCCTCAACTTTGCACAAGGTGATTTCCACTTCTAGGCAGAAGGTTTGGTGATGTAAAGACACCATTAGGCAGATAAATAAGAGGAAATTGGGTTTTTTAAGCAGATTTGGAGTCCTGGTCAGATGACACTGTAAGACAAAGCCGACTTCAGAATAAGAAATATTATCAGAGACGAAGAATGGCATTTTATAATAAGAGGACATAAAATACTAAGTGTGCACCCAGCTGTCTTGTAAAAGACATGAAACAAAACTGACGAAACTGAGAGGAGAGAGGCGATGAGAGTTAGAGTGCATGCCCCAGTCCTCTGGGAAGGGCGGGCAGGCGGTCATCAGCAGTTGCCAAGACAGGCAGCTTCACCTGCTGGTCCTTACCAGGTACTCGAATGCGGGATCCACTCTTCCTGCGCTCAGAGCAGTGCGTGCTGTGCTAGAGAACAGGGTTTAATAAATCTTAAAGGATGTGTCCTCATGGAACTTAACTGATGTCTAGAAAAATGAAGATCTAGAAAACAGAAGGCTATCTAGAAAATCCCCAGTGGGCACAGTGGCACATGCCTGTAACCACAGTGTCTCAGGAAGCTGAGGCAGAGGATTCCAGGTTTGAGGCTGGACAAGAAAAAAAAAGAACACAATACCAATATAGGGTGTCAAGAGGAGGGTCTCTGCAGGTCTAACTGTGTAAACTTATTTTAAGAAATATTGTCAGTTGTACATGGGAATAGTACCTTCAATTAAATAATTATTTTTTTAATGTGGTGCTGAGAATTGAACCCAGTGCCTCCCATGTGCTAGGCAAGTGCTCTACTGCTGAGCTACAATCCTAGTCCTTGTGCCAGCACATTTGACAGTGTAGATGAAAATGCATACTCTTTGAAAGATAAAAATGTCCAAAACTGATATAAGAAATGGCTATATGGGGCTGGGGATGTGGCTCAAGCGGTAGCGCGCTCGCCTGGCATGCGTGCGACCCGGGTTCGATCCTCAGCACCACATACCAACAAAAATGTTGTGTCCGCCGAGA